TTTACATGTTATGTTTATGTATTTTAATTTTAGATAATAAGTTTTTTAAATCATTTATTTTAAAATTTAAGTTTCTATTTTTTATTAACATTATGTTTAATATTTTTTGCATTTTTTTGAATTTTCTGACTTTTTTTTTAATTTTTTTACCTTTTTTTGTAGTTTTGCGACTTTCTTAAAAAGGCGTGCGCCTCACCTTGCGCCTTGCTCCTCAGGCGCAAATTGGCCCTTGTGCTTTTTTTGCGCCTTGCACTTTTAAAACACTGGGTTATGATTGGACTATAGCATGAAATCCTTCTTTTCTGTGGATTAAAGCAATAAAGAGATAGTATCAAACTCAAAACTGTCTACTTAGAATACCATTTTGCTCTTGATTTATCTTCTATCTTGATTCTTTGACCTGAGCCCCCCACCCCCAAAAAAGAAAGAAATGAAAAGAAACAAAAAACATACACACACAGAAAAAATGGAAAAGGGTAAGAAAGAAAAATAAACTAAAAATGGCCCCATCTTGTCCAAATGCAGATGAGCGATGATAATCCCCACGTTATACCTGAGATGGATCCAACACTTAGGAAGCAGATCCAAGAATGCAATTGGCAGGTTGTGAACGTTACAACCCCAGCTAACTATTTCCATGTTCTGCGGCGCCAGGTACATATTTCTAATTTCCATACTAATATTCCTTTTGCATATTCTAGATGAATTTCTCCTCTAACAGTGTATGGTTTCATCTCTCAGATACACAGAGAATTCAGAAAACCACTCATTGTAATGGCTCCTAAGAACCTGCTACGCCACAAGGATTGCAAATCAAATTTATCTGAGTTTGATGATGTCCAAGGCCACCCAGGTTTTGACAAACAAGGGACTCGTTTCAAGCGTCTTATAAAGGATCAGAATGACCACTCCAATCTTGAAGAGGGCATCAGGCGACTAGTTCTCTGCTCTGGAAAAGTATGCAACTGCTGTTTGTTATTTCTTTCTGTTTACATTTGCAAGAAAATTCAAAGATAGAACTATTATATTCTTTGGTTTAATGTACATTCAAAAAAAATATTGTTTGCAGGTTTATTATGAGCTTGACGAAGAGCGGAAGAAAATTAATGGCAGTGACATTGCAATCTGCAGGATAGAACAGCTTTGCCCCTTCCCTTATGATCTGATCCAACGAGAGCTAAGGAGATATCCAAGTAGGGTCATCTAACTTGTCTTTATATATATAGCATGGAAATATGGAAAGGATTTCTGCAATGCTAAACTGTTCAAACCTTAAAATCTTAAAAACAAAGAAAAGTATAACTGAAGAATTGGAGACGTGAACGTTGTGTTTATATGCTGCTGACCCTAGAGTCTAGTCTGATGTGTTTTGAACCATATAATCTTAAGGCAGAAGAAAGAATCAATGTCATCAGTCTGATGGATCTGTTTGTGATGCCAATACTGCCAAGGATTGTTAAACCATAAAATGTCATGAGGAACTTGCTGAGTGTTTGAAAATTTCTTTTGATGTTTCCAGCAAGTCGTTTCTAAAGCAGGATTTGTCTCTAGGTTCCAGTCGCTCAGCTGTTAGGTTCCAGTCGCCCCCACCCAACCCTCTGGATATGTTGGATATTCTTGATTATGTAGAGTTAGGATTGGTTCCACATTAACTGGAAGTGGAATTAGGTGATTTTGAGGATCATGGTGCCGACTTATTATGTAATTTATTTATTTTGATGTTTCAGATGCAGAGATTGTGTGGTGTCAGGAAGAGCCAATGAATATGGGTGCATATAATTACATTGCACCCCGGCTCTGTACTGCCATGAAAGCTCTGGGCAGGGGTACCATCGAGGACATCAAATATGTTGGGCGTGCTCCATCTACGGCCACAGCCACTGGTTTCTATCAAGTTCATTTGAAAGAACAGACTGAACTTGTACAAAAAGCAATGCAGCCTGAACCAATCAAGTACGCATATTGAAGAAAACATCCAGAGGTTACTGGAAGTCAACAGTGGAAGAAAATAATAATTCATGAAAAAACATGATATTGTGGAAAGGCATGTATATTTATTTCCCAATATAAAGCCCATGTCTCTGGGCATTTGGGACTCCAAAGTTCAATAGTCATACTACTGTCGCCCACTTCTTTTTTCACACCATTTTCTGGGCACCAATATTGTGATGCCAATTGTTGGATTATGAGGCTACAGTACTCTGCCTAAGCTCAAGTGCATATTGAATTTTAAATTTGTCTCGGAGCAATAGAAAGTGAAAATACAATAAATCGAATTAATGCCATTGGAATTTGTACGAGTTTGTCTTTCCAGTAGTAGTAGTAGTAGTTTTGTCATGTACGTTCTGTAACTACACGTATGGTAGGGATGCACTACGCCACTGCCAAATTAACTTTTGCGGATTGCGGTGCCTTGCTACTTGTGCCTGCTCGGCATCAGCATCAATGGACTGGTTTGGTCCAACCACATCCAGTCCAATGTGAGTTCGCTTACAAATGGATTGGACCCAATTCAGTCTAAATCCAATCCAATCCACTAAAAAATAAATGGACTGGATTGGATCCAATCCAAACCGAATGAAATATAAAAAATTATATATAAAAAAAAAAGAACATACAAAAAATTACAAAAATATATTAAAATGAAGAAAATCTGAAAATTACAAAAATATATCCTTTTGGCATTAAAAAAGCATGCTTTTGATACCATAGAAGAGTTTTTATAAAGGTACTTTTGTATAAGTGATTTTATAAAAGTACTTTTGTAGAAGTACTTTCATAGAAGTGTTTTTGTAAAAGTGCTTTTATTAAAGTGCTTTCGTAAAAATGCTTTTATTAAACTACTTCCACAAAAGTACTTTTATAAAAGTTCTTTTGTAAAAGTGATTTCATTAAAGTGCTTTTATGTACAAGTATTTTTATAAAAGTGCTTTTATTAAAATACTCTCTCAAAAGTTCTTTTATAAAATTGCTTCTGTAAAAGTGCATTCATAAAAGTATTTTTGTAAAATTACTTTCATAAAAGTACTTTTCATAAAATTACTTTTATAAAAATGCTTTTGTAAAAGTTCTTCCATAAAATTATTTTTATAAAATTGATTTTATGTTGGCTTCAATTTTAATTGGTTTCAAATTGGACAAGAATTTGGCCTCATTATCGAATTATTAAAATTTTGGTTTAGGTCTGATTCAAACCAATAAAAATATGAACTAATTTATTTTGGATTGGCCCAATCCAATAATTACAATGGACTGTCTAAATCTGATTTAATAAGATTTAGATCGAATTAGATCCAATCCAAAACCAGTCGATTGACACCACTACCACTGGATAAGGATGGTTGGGTCAGTTACATGAATCCAGTTTTGCCATTCTGTACTGGTGCAAGTCAGATCATGAATCATGATATCAATACTCAAGTTTTGCATAACTGAATGTTGTTCGGACGTTATTCATTTGTAAACGATCACCAGGGTTGGGGGTTTATGGGTAGAGCAGTCAATGGGTTGGGTTTGGTTTTTGATATGGGTGTACCAATCCTTAATTGATTATCAATCGATTCCATAAGATAAACCCAGAACTGAAATCAAATTGTTAATTGGGATAATCGGGTGTGACCCAATTAGATACTTGATATCTATAGTTAGTTACATATGATACTAACACTTAAAACTTTATTTTTGATAATATAATTTTAATAAAACGACAGTATTGATAAAATAAGTGTTTTTAACCAAGTTTATATCATATACTGTTTATAACATTTACATCATCCTTTTAAACATTTATCTATATATATAGCAAGATAGTTTACATCACTATGTCTTTCCTTGCTTCATTATCCTCACCCTACATTCTTTTTTACTCTCTCTCTCTCCCCTCTTCTTCCCACAACTTCCATTAAGCCATATCACTATTCACAACCCAATTACCTAAAAATATTCCTAGAATCTCTCTCCTAAGATATCTCCTCTAAGCCATTAGGAATGTATCATATTACCCCACTCTTCAATCAATTCTTAAAATCTTCCCCCCCCCCATTTATATGCACTCTCTCTCATTTAAAATATTCATATTAATTAACAAATAGTTAAATACAGTTAATATTTAATCCAATCGATATTTAATGAGTATTAGATAGTGTTATTACCAAAAAGTTAATAAATATGGTTAGTAATTTACAAAAAATTAAATATTCTTATTAGTACGGTTAGTAAATTAAAAAAAGGAAAATCCTCAATAAGTACCTTGTACTTTTGTTTGATTGACAATTTGGTCCCCCAAACTTTAAAATGTGACAATCCAGTACCCAAAGTACAGGATACTGATTGAGAATTTTCCCTAAAAAATTAATAAATACTGTTATTAATTAACTCACCATGACTTTTTTAAGTATCTTGGGTAAATATTGTTATATTCATGTCAATTAACAACATTTTATAGAAATTGAAAACTCTTTAACTAATTCCTATAAAATTGAGAATTATATTTAACAATTATTAAAAAGTATAAAAATTTTAGTTATTGCTATTATTATAATTAATAACCAAATGCGGATTGGGGAAGAAAATATTATAATGTTGGAAAATGAAATTATTAATTAATTTATATTGGAAAATAAAAAATAAATTAGTGTAATTTTTCTAGTAAACTACTTAGTAAAAATAAATATTTAAAATAAATTTCAATAAATCTCCATAATTGCACAAATGTAATAAATTTTTCAAAAAATTTTCATAAAAATACATTTTCGTAAAATAACATTTTGGAAATTAAAAGATATAATATTTGTACTTTTGGAAAATTTATGAAAGCTTATTTAAAATGTATTAAATAATTATTGGAATACTTTGGAAATTTTAGGAAATTTTATTACATTTGATAGATTTTGGAAAACTATTGAAAAATTATGTAATTTTCATTATAAATTATTGAAAATTATAAAAGATAAATGGGTATGGAAAAGGGAAAACTATAATTTGAACCAATAATTACACAAATTATTAAGATAATTTAGTATAATATTGGAAAAAGGATATTATTGATTCGTTTATATTAGAAAATATAAGATAAATTAGTGTAACTCTATAAGTAAATCATTTAAAAAGAAAATAAATTATTTAATAACAATTTAAAAATAAATTTGAATAGATTTTCAAAAGTACACAAATGTAATAAATTTTCCAAAGTTTTCATAAAATAACATTTTTGAAAATTAAAGACAATTTAGTGTACTTTTAGAAATTTACCATGTGACTGATATTCAATATATCCTTTCGATTTGATCATTTTTTTCATCAAATTGAATATTGGGTTGATGTGGAGTGGGTGCCTTGCCTTGAACCCACCCAACATTGGGGACGGAGTGGGGAAAATTCGAAGGTTCCCCATCCTTGATGAGGAGTGGGTGCATTGTCCTAAACTTGCCCGACATTAAGGACGAAACGAGGAAATTCAAGGATTCCCCATCCCTAATGGGGAATGGGTGCCTTGCCTGACACTGAGGATGAGATGGAAAAATTTGAGGATTCCTCAACGCTAATGGGTAGTGAATGCTTTACCCTGAATCCACCTAACATTAGGGACAATGCGGGTCTTAATTGGTTTGGGTCTTAATTGTTATCAAGAAGTATTTATATGGTTATGTATATAATAGTTTGGGTGTTAATTGGTTTCAAACAACAAAAATTGGTACTGACTCATTTATTAATCGGAACAAAACCAACAACAGAACCAAAACGGACATAATTGATTCGGTTATATGGATAGACCTGATCTATTGACAGCCTTAGGTAATTTAGCCCGTGAAGAAGGAAAAACAAAGCAAAATGATGAATTTCATTTTAATTTCGCTCTCATCAATCATTTAATCGTTTTGTCCTTGGTTCCCAATTTCCCCGTAGAAAAATGAGAAATGAGATTACTGCTTCCTGGTGGCTGGTGGTCAACTAATTCCATGATTCAATTCAATTACAAAAGGAGGCATAAACACGAACCAAGTACATTGAACAATGAACATATATACTACGTAGGCTTCTTAAAACGGAGCCCACATGTAATTAATATAAAAATCAAACTTCAAATTCAAGGGTGGAAGCTAGCAATAATCAAGTTGGATAGATTTAACTTAAAAGTAGCCACAGCCACTTAAATTTTAACTATATATGATATATTGAAGAACGAATTATTTGCAGTTGCATTGCCATCTGCCAACAAACAAAACTAATTAATATATATTAATCACAAACTCACATCCAGAAGTCAGAAGTAATTAAGGAATGAATGGTCGGAACGATGATATATTGACGAGGCCAAAAGATTAAAAAAAAAAAAAAAGGTTTGAATTAGAACAGGTTGAGATCAATAGACTCCCCAATCCCCCCCATATACAATACATGCATGGAAATGGAAATGGAAATAGATCATATATATAGCATAAGCAGACGACCTTAATTTAATTCGTTGCAGTGGTCCACATACATACCAACCATCTCTGGTTTTTACACAACTCCCCCACTTCTTCCCTAACTGTGGGCAAGTTAGAAACTAGAAAGGCAGATGGAATGCGAAGAAGACATCGCGCTCCTATTAAAATTTGGTTGATTTTCCCTCTCAGTCCCCACATAATTAAAGTGGTGAATGGTGTGGTGTGACATAAAAATGGAGATTGGTGCTTGTACACCGGGCCAACGCCAATGCCAACACCAACGTACGTAAGACATACTCACACTCAACATATATACAGTAAGTCTGAAATGGAAAGTATTTTTGTTAATTAATTGATTAATCAATACATAGATGCACCATCATCGATCACATCAGACATACACGAGGGGGTACAGAAGTAGGCCTTGATGCATTATAAATAAAGCAGGCAGTAGTTCAGACTTTAATTTATTAAAAGCTAATGAAGGTGCGCATTAATTAGTCCATATATTAAAACTAGCTTTGGCATTGTAGTCGCAGTTGCCGTCTACCACGGATGTAACAATGTCGTTGATTAATTCCATTGGATTACGTCGTAAACCCTATTTCATGGCATCCATTCAACATTGCTATTTCCTTTCTTCCCCCACCTTCATCATACATCTATTGGCAATGGTAAACTACGAGCTGATCCAGTTGGATGCACCGGTGAATCTTCTCAGAATAAGGAATTAACCTCTTTGGTTTCATTCAGGATGAGCTGCACTTGATTGCTATAGAAACGATTATCTCAACTTGATATATTTGCTCTACAGAGATTGAGTATATCTTTGGTTCCGTTTATATATATATATTGAGTAAACTTTTATTGGCGGTGCCACATAGGCACCCTATCAGTAAATCTGCCTCATTAATTGTATCTGTGTGTATTGAAATTTGTAAAATTTCTGTGCGCCTCTCCCCTCTCAAGAAACTTTATTTTAGAGCTTCCTGAAATGGGTAGATGTTTATTGGTATTTTGCTGATGTGGTGCCTAATGGCGCCTATGTATGTATCATAAACTCCCTCATTAAATGTGTTTCTAAGTTTTACAGTCACACAAGTACAAAAAATTTACTGAATAAATACAAAACGGAACCAAACACCCTCTAAGTGATTGTGGCCATATACACTTTTTGGCTGGTGCAGAGCAAAATTATTGGTTCCACAGCCCCTGAAACAGCAATATATCAGGTCCAGCTAATCTGCTCTCCTAATTGCAGCTCATCCAGACTCGGTATTACTAGACTCGAAATCCACAACCGAATGGATTCCACCAAGGGATTGAATTATATTAGAGATGATATTATTTTTTAAGGTTTAATCCACAGATTAGCATTAATTGATAATCTTTAATTTCTTCACCACCCAAATGAATTAAACAGTCTCTTATTTATCCTTATATCTTTTGTTGTGAGAAACAACACTCCAAACAAGGGATCTTAGTGCAACTTTATGAGAATCAATTACATTATGGGAGCATTCAACAGCATGAATTTTCGGTTTATATTTGTTTTTGAAATCGTCACATCTGTAAAACAATAAAGACATGTTTTTGAATTCTGTTTTTGTTTTCAAAGAGAAAACTATAGTTGGTTTTGTTTCGAAAAACAATACATCTTTTTAGAACCAACAAAATGTTGATTTTTAAAACAAAACTAAATTTTCTAGTATAAAAATTATATGAATATTTAAGAAACATGATATTGAATAATCACAAGTTAACACATTTCTCAAAACCAGATTCAAGAACATGTTTTTGGTTAATTTCAGTTTTGAAAACAAAAACCATAAAACATGTTTCTTGTATTTTTATTTCAAGAAACAATTGATTTTCAAGAAAAACAATTCACATAGTAGAACACCCCTACCAATTTTATGAGAGTCGTAAGTCATAACCCGAAGGATCCTGACGGTCCATGCTATTTTCAATTGAACCAAACCAACGCCAATTTGATGGCTCTATTTCTATCCAATCGGTAATTAATTAAACACGCATTTGTTCTTTATCCAGAGAGGAGATATATACAACCAGTCTGATGGTTATTTATATATATCCTGTCTCTATCCCACCTGGTCCAATTGCTGCTCAATCTACCATTATTCTTCATTTTCAAACCAAAAACAGAAATGAATTGATGATGACACATTAAATTCTTTAGTTGAAAAGATAAAAGAAACCGAGCCCAGTATACAAGCTTCTAATTCTAACAACAGAGAGCATAAGAATATTACTCGTTCATCCTTTCTCTCTGTACCCAAGAAAAAGAAACAGACAGAGCATTGCGTGAGAATCAAAACAATCAGCTGAGCAATCAATTCAACGATGAGTACTTGAATCACATCAAACAAAATATTGGTATTAACAAGGCTGAATGAATCAGAGAGTAGAGTTTCCCGTTGTAGTCGTAGAGGAATGAATTCACCATGTAAAGACATGAATGGGGAGGGTCTACCAACTACTAAGGGCCGGGTAAATATTAATTAATCATACAAACAAAGCAGCAAATTTTTGTGGACATGAAATTGGCCATGGAGCATTGTATTGCATGTTCTAATTAATTACCTTCGACAAACTGTTACTGTTTTAAATTAAACGTCCACGGCCACAAATTAAGAGCGTACGTCATCAGCAAGAAAGAGACACGTAACAATCCATTTCCTGAAGAAGACGAAATGCTTTATTCTTGTAATCAATCACCACTGGGCACTAAGCTAGATCGTTAATGCAGGTTGCTTAGGCGCTGAGACCTCTCCTCGCTCTTAAGTGTCGTAATTAACCAATTCAGAAAAAGTTACAAATAAACAATGCAGACACATTGGTTCTTGTTGTGGTTGCTAATAATGGAGGATATGGACTAGTTAAATGCGCAAGGCCACTTGTTTTAAGATGTTTAATGAAATGGGGTTTTTGATTGGAAAATTAATTTAATAGGGGGGATCGGGGGAATTAGTGGAGTTCCTACACTTGTATGACTGACGTGTTGGAAATGATTTTTGATGCATGAATAGATCGATCGACTCGTATATAAACACTACTAAAGCTTCTACTTGGTTTCTACAAAGCCTTAGGCCCTTAGCTATAGCTTCTGTAGATTAATTCTACAATCTACAGGACGTACTTGTCTGGGTTGGTTTGGTTTTGGTGCAAGATGAAAGACCAAATGCCAATCCAGTCTCCTAGTCGTCTGTTCAGTAAGGCAAAGCCTTTCCTGGCTGTGATCTTCCTGCAGTTGGGCCTTGCAGGGATGGCTATCATAGCTAAGCTTGCTTTGGACGAGGGACTTAACCATTACACCTTTGTTGTTTACCGTAACTTTATAGCCACTTGTGTTATCAGCCCTTTTGCCATCACCCTGGAGAGGTTTCTCTCTCTCTCTCTCTCTCTCTCTCTCTACTTACAATGTGCACCTAACTTCATTTACGTTTTAACAGGAAAGTGAGGCCCAAGATGACATTCACAATCTTTGCCAAGATAGCATTACTGGGCTTATTAGAGTAAGCTTCTGAAACACAAAAATGAAAAATCAAGTTAACGTTTCATGCATGGCGATATATATAATCTAATCCAGAACCAGCTAGCTATATATACCCTTCTAAGTTCTAACGACAAACTCTGTTTCTCCTCTACAGGCCGGTGATCGATCAAAACCTGTATTACTCAGGAATGAGAATTACGTCAGCCACATTTACAACTGCTATGTGCAATATTCTTCCTGCCCTAACCTTTTTGATGGCTTTCATTTGCAGGTATTATCTATTATCTTAATTTGCGCGCTTACCAATATCCCCTCCCTCCCCCTAATTCTCTAAATCCTAAACCCTAAATTTGATTTCTCAGTTGGTTAGAGATTTAATTAAACATGTACATCCATTCCATTTCCATCTAGTGCAATATCAACCCGTATATATAAACCCGGGTTGGTTTGGGCTGACCACTTTTTCCAAGTAAAACAGGCCCAAGTTGGCCTGAGCCTGACATACATGTATCATGTGATACAAATAGGACATCTTTTTGAATTTCTATATATAGAACTTTGCCATCACCTAGAGAGTCGACGGAATTAAAGAAATAATATATTATTAATTAAAGAAAAAATTGTGAATCCAGTTCACATTCACAAAGGGATGGATATTTATTAATAACAGGCTTGAGAAGGTGAAGATTAAGAAGGTGCGTAGCCAAGCGAAGGTAGTGGGAACTTTGGTGACAGTTGGAGGAGCGATGCTGATGACATTAATCAAAGGCCCCGTTATAAACCTGCCGTGGACGAAAGGAAGAGTTAACAATCATGGAAACCAAACAACTCCAATCCATCAAGATCCGATCAAAGGCTCTCTTATGATCGCAGCCGGTTGCTTCTGCTGGTCTTGTTTCATTATTTTGCAAGTAAGCAGCGTGGCGAGTCTAATTACATTGTTTCGTTCAGGCCACCACTCTGCACTCTGCACTCAGCACTCAGCACTCAGGACGCGTAATTAAATGATATGGTTATGACTTAGACGGTGATTATATTCATTCATTCATTAATACCATCTCTACGTCATGTTTTTTTGTTGATGCAGGCTATCACACTGAGGGAATATCCGGCGGAGCTCACTCTCACAGCTTTGATATGCCTCATGGGAGCTGCAGAGGGTGCTGTGGTGGCGCTTGCGCTGCAGTGGGGAAAGAGCAGCATCTGGTCCATACACTGGGATGCCAAATTCCTAGCTGCTCTCTATGGTGTAAGTGAAACTCAAACCAACGCTTTTGATTTGATTGGACATTTTGTCATTAATTTGTAAGGAAATTAGTCTTCCCATATGATATCAGTATCAGTATCACCCACCACCCGCCAGGCCGCCACAACACATCTGCTGCGACCCCAATGAAATACAGACGCACCAGCGTACGTTTTAAATACAGACCCCAGTGAAATGTGTTTGTATTTCAATTCAATGGGGGGTGGTCCGGGTCACAGCAGATTTTTGTTCTCCATTGGTAGCGGAGGTTGCTGCGATAAGCTGACACGACTGACTGACGAGGTTCAGCGCTGCTGCATGGTTTCCTTCTTTATGGATTTGCTTTTGAATAATCAATCCACGTCTTCATTTCAGAATTCAGACAAGAAATAGAAAACAAGTATTATACATAATTAATAATAATGGGATGATGACGATGAAGATCCTTCATCCTTGTGATCCTAAAGCAGTTAAGTAAAGCTTACTCTGATAGCAGTGATTTGTTTGATCGGTATATTAATTCTGTCTAATCTTTATTATATTATACATACAAAAACAAACGATGAACAATTAATAATCTGTGGGCCGGGTGGTTGCAGGGAATAGTGTGTTCGGGAGTTTCTTATTACATACAAGCAGTGATAATAAAGAAAAGAGGTCCGGTTTTCGTAACCGCTTTCAGTCCCTTATGCATGATAATAGTGGCCATTCTGGGCTCCTTCATCTTAGCGGAACAGATGTTTGTGGGAAGGTACCTACTTATATGTCAAACACCACATGATGATCATGATGACTTAAAATTTTAATTAATTTAGCCTTCGTCCTTCTTTTTAATTGATTAATGGATATATTGGTAATAAATAAAAAACAGTGTAATCGGAGCAATCGTCATAGTTGTTGGTCTGTACCTTGTTGTGTGGGGTAAAATCAAGGATCACGTGCCCTCCTCCCCGGCGGACAACGAACTAATACCAGTAACACCAGTTGATGATAAGATCCAGATGAAAACCGGTTCGATCAGCGATGGCGTCGATAGGAAGGAGAATGAGAAACCAGATCATCATGAATTTGTGGCAATCGGCGTTGCAGCTGCATGAGATTAATTGATTAGTACTATCCTGATCATCGGTGATGAAGACTCATGAGTTGGTCGCATTCGCGGGGCAACACCTGAAGATGAGCCTCTGCAGTGCAGGTTACACCAATGTTCCAGACCATCCATCAAGTTTCATCATGTACGCATTATTTTTCCTTTTGTAATTTCCCTAAAAATTGTCGTGGAGATGCAGAATCCAAGTTTGGCCTCTCCATCAAGTTTCATCATGTACGCATTACACCTTCAAACAATTTCTTTTCTTGCTTGAAATCTGTGTAGAAGTAGATGCTAGATAATGGTCCAACCATCCAATTTATGGCAAACTCTCAAAATATATCTAAGCTATTGGACAGGGGGAGGGATTTGGGATCATCCCATATATAGCTGATAGCAGTAGGATCGATCTATATCTACTTCCAACTCCTCAACCAGCGAAAGGACCAGAGTAGACAGACCTCCTTAGGCCCTTATATCCCAAGTTAAGGGCAACAGAGTAGTTGGGTTGGGACCACATTCTACCGGACGAGAGTCTAAGGAGTCCGGATCTTCTACCAACCACCTATCAACAACAACAAATGAAGACCCGTGTCCCAATACATGCTTTCTCGCGTGTGTGTGTGTGTGTGAGAGAGAGAGTTAATGGGTCGGACAATTAGTCCATCCGTTGGCTCCTAAAACAAAATTTCTTCCATCCCCATTTTAATCTCCTCGGTGGGATAACAACGATCTTCTCGGCTTCCCTTTTTTTTATTCCTCTGCTTCTCTCATCATTTCCCAGTACAGAGGATTCCAAAACCCACCGGCAACAAACTGGCGGCAATCAGTAGTTGTGTTGGCTACAATTAGTCTAATAGCTTAAGATTAAAACATCTTCATCTGAGATTTGTTGATCGGATTTTTAATTGTTTAAAAAGTCGTCTTTGTTAAAAGATCAACATGGGGGCTTCACCCTTTCAATGGTTTTACTTTTACCTTTAAAAGTTCACGCGATAGGTGAGATGACAGTTAGATCTCTACCGCCGGGGGTGTGGGGCGGGAGGTTCACATACACCCAGGTGTGAATTGTTCACTTTTTTTTTTTAACCACAGATGATATCACCTTGTGCTTTATATTTGAAATTGGGACATTCCACCTCACGAGTCAAGGTGGTCGTAGTTGAGACAAGACAACGCCATTATAGGTGTATTGTTTGAGAGTAATGGCGCTCTTTTTTATTTTATTTCCTGAGAGGGTAACAGATAATACAGAGTTTTAGCAACTAATGGCTGTCCTGTCTAGCTTTTCCATACCGAAAGATTTCATGATCGCCCACTGTTAAGACCTATATACATATATATCATCAGAAATCAAGATGGTTCCACAATTTTTATGCATGGATGGTGAATTGACAAACCCTTTTATTTGGAAAGGTAGTAGATACCTAGCTACTACACTTACCCAACCATAGAGAGGTCGCATTCGCAATCGTAATGCATCTACCAGTTCAAAACTTAAACTCCTTTTGAATAAAGCTCTTTGTCCAACAATATAGCTTATCTCCAAGCTGGAAGGGCTCGATGCAAACTGGAGCTCTTTTATTTGCTTAAACAACTGTAGCTTATCTCCAAGCTGAAAGGGCTCGATGCAAACTGGAGCTTGAGGTTTGATATACTACAATATTATGCATAAGGTCATGAAATTCTTTTCAGACACCTCGATCTTCTGGACCACATGGTCAATTACAAATTTACAATTGATGTCCCTCTACCAGCCTCATCACACATCGTACGCGGTAATGTATGGCACCTTGCCAATTGATGAATTTCAGCATAATTTGAGTTTGAGTAGACAGGGTTATTTCCTCATATAAGATGGTTGTTTGTCCATGACAATCTGGATTCGCTGATCTTCCCAATTTACTTTGGTAAATGCGCAAGACTTTGTTCTGTTCAGTTTCTTCTTAATGAAAACGAATAATAACTTTAAGAATGGGGTTGAGAACCACAAGGATACAAACAAAACATTATAGAAAGTTTTAACACCCATTACCCTGGTAATCTGGTGAACATTTCGATGAGAAGCCTAGCAAAATTTGTATCCTGCAATCTAAAGACCAAAACTTGACGCAAGTTGAATAGCTAAAAAAAATTAATATTCAACCATCAAACCTCTTCCAGTTCTTAACTTGAACCCTACTTATTTAATTTATCTTCCCATCCTGCTTGCAACTTCTGTTCTAAAAAACAACAGGTGTTCCAAGACAAACTAACCCAAGCATCCATGGAAGAAAAGGCAACAAATCCATTTTCATTGCCAAAGTAGAAACTATGCATAACATACTTCCAATTTCTTGAAAGAGAGGCAAGATCATTCAAGAATTCTTTTTAATTTCATTGAAAAACAAACCTTACACCATGAGGACATCAAGATGTTAGGCTAATTCTATGTTGCATTAAAATAGTGAGATTCCTGTTTCTTTCTTCTTTTTTAGATCGGTAAACTAGTGAAGATCATATTATCCAAATCATTTCAATGTCCATACTGCTTGTACAAAACTACCAAAATGATGTATGCATCTATTTACAAAATGATAGGATTACCCTACCTTAAATATTTGCACGACATACACTAAAAGACTTCACTTTGAGATTGTTGTGCTTCATCTTTTCCAAAGATGCGCTGAAGTTCACGTGTTGCTGCTTCAAATGATGCTGAAAGCAAGGAAAAAAAAACAGAAAAAGCATGTGAGAGCAAAGTATAAATACGTTCTTCACAAGAACAATTAAAAAAGATGACTAATTACTAAGCCTGTGCCTCAAAATAATGATAACTAATGGGGACAGCAGTTTACGTAATAAATGACAAGATAAATGCGTTTAGTCTAATAACGTCATTAATCAGGAATTTCCACCACCTTTCCAAACACGGAAGGACTTTTGATTGATCGGTGAGCCTGTCACAGTTTGAATTGCGTCAAACAACATATTCTGTGGTGTGCTCCTTAGTTCTTGGACTATTCCATAAATAGTCTTCCCATTATCAAAGAATATGTGGTTATTTGGATGTTTTGTTTTGCAACCAGCATGGCGCTCAAACTCATAAGCATTGAGTACCTGCATAACCATTTGATCAATAAAAACATGGCTGCTCAACATGACAAAGCGGCTTAAAAAAACCCCCTTGCCTATTGTACCACTTTGAAATGGAAACCACAATTACTTACCTTAGAGTAGTTACATGTCTGACAGCTGCACAAATATCCAGAGCCTTTTATAACACCACGGAGCTCCTTCTGGCATGTGTAGGAAATAATCAAACAAATTAAAATGGTGGCAAGTTACTGTGAACAAAATATACACTAGAACTAAGATTTACTCAGTTACCTCCCGTGACCAGGAAATATACTTCACAGGGACTCCATCAAGCATCCCAGTTGATAGCAAGCTTTTCACATTTGAAGGGAAGTTGTTTGGAGCTACCTTCTTTGACATTTTTAGCTCCATCTTATTCTTAGGAACCGCTTCAGTTCCAGCAGATGCAATTTGGGAATTATTTGCAAGTACATCCACACTCGCATCAACCAATTCTTTTTCACCAATTGGCTCTGATGTTTGAACAGAAGATTGGCCCATTAACAAGTCATAGCTACTTATGAGCCTGCCGGAAGGGTTCGTCTCAGGTTCCAGATGAAAGCCAGTGAAAGATATTGTAGTGGATTCACCCTTATTGTACGGATGGCCCATTGAGATGATATTGCTGTCCCCCTTGTTGAAGATGTGGCCCATTGTCATGGTGCTGTCATCTCCTTTGTTGTAGATGTGTCCCATTGATATGGTATTTTCGTCAGCTTTATTGTAGGTCTGACTCATTGATATGGTATTTTCATCCCCCTTATTGTAGGTATGGCTCATTGATATGGTATTATTGTCTCCTTTATTATAGGCATGACCCATTGATATGGTATTGTCATCCCTCCTATCATAGGCCTGAGTATGACCAATTGATATAGTATTGTCATCTCTCTTGTCATATGCATGACCCATTGACATCATATTGCCATCCCTCTTATCATAAGTTTGACTCATTGATATCATATTGTTGTCTCCCCTATTGTATATGTGTCCCATTGACACCGATATGCCATTATCAGAGTCCTTGACTTGATTAATTTTAACTTTTCTAATACCACCATAGCTGAGGCAGGAGGCAGGATCTTCCATTGTATGAGAAATAGATAAACCGACAGAAGGATCATTTCCAAATTGGTCCTCAAAAACCTTTCTTCCCATATTCAAGTGCCCCGTATTCACAGATGGAATGTTGTTAACACCAAAGTTGATAGTCCTCTCTGGCTCTGATCCAAATAACCGATCACTAAATTGGCCTGACACTGACTGGAAACTCGAAACATTCTCCCATGGAGAGAAATTCACATTTGAAATCCCTGAAATTGGCTTACTGTTCGAAGCATCCATTGCTTGCTTCTTGTTGGGAAACAGTTCAGGTTCAGTAGGATCTACAAACCATTGATGAGCGCGTTTTGGTTCGATCCTGGAAGAATTGTCATATGATATCTCACCATCATTTAAACACCCAGGACCTTTTGCCATCCATAATCCCTTGCTCTGGAAAGACTGCAACAAAATATTAGTTAAGAAAAGATCCCCAACAGATAAGCCACTTGATCATGCAGCATGGCTAAATTAAACAGGATGATCAAAACATAATGATGTAATCAGGTATCAAAATCTATAACAAAATGACTTCATATCCACCCACCATGCCCTTCAACCAAAGTAAATAAACAACAATAAAGATAAAATACCAATCATCCATCTGGAGGGTAAAGCTTACTCAAAGCATTGAAGAAGCTAAGATCAACCATAATTTTCTTGAAACCTAATCAAACATAATTAACAATCCAGATGACAAATTCAAAGAAAGAATACAAATCAACCACCATGCCCTTCAACCAAAGTAAATAAACAACAATAAAGATAAAATACCAATCATCCATCTGGAGGGTAAAGCTTACTCAAAGCATTGAAGAAGCTAAGATCAACCATAATTTTCTTGAAACCTAATCAAACATAATTAACAATCCAGATGACAAATTCAAAGAAAGAATACAAATCATCTGATTCAAGAACCACCTTGAGAATAAAAATTCCTACCAAGAGGAAAAGGCCATTCCTATGATGCCCCGATACAGATACCAACAAGGACAAAGTCACATATATGTGGATTGGGAAAATGAGGATACGACTCTCCATTTATCCAAAATATTTGCCATTTTGGCTTTCAATTTCCATTTTACCCCTTTTTAATCAAATAAGGGAACAATATAAGGCAGCCTAAAAGAATCCAATGTGATCTGCATTAACTTCGGTTTTAGGAGTCACTTCAGTATGCAGTATTAGAAACCCGCTTCACTGAGGACACTGGCAACAACTGCAGGCTAGGCTCACGTCTTTGCATTGGTCTCATTGTGATAAAACAGTAAAATTCCTGACCATTATAGGACCGAAAAAGCACTTAACAAATTTACCCAACAAAACAGTCAATTCTTCAATATCATTCCAGCCTAGAAAAAAGCTCAGTGTGAAGGGTTGGAGCATTAATTGATTAAGCACGAATTCCTGCAGCTGTGAGCTATCTGATATATAAGGCTGGATCAGAAACACCTTCCACAAGTTAAATGAAGAATTTGTATTTCGAAGATTGACATCTATGCTGCTCTGACACTTCTAAATTAATAAAATAGTTGTCAGAAATATGGCTGATTCCAAGACTCAATTCCTCATTGTCCAACATTCTTAAATTCTCATCCTAATTTTCTTTTCTTACAGCAACCAGTTGTACAGTACGTTTTGCCAGTTGAATATAAAATTATAAATACAATGACATTACCTTTTCGGAGGGTGGGGGTGGGAGAGAATGTTTTGAAGAGGCAGAGATAATATTCAATTAAATTAGGCCTCCATCTATAAGTATAGCAAGAGATTCAGAAGATATCCCACTTTTAAACTCAACCTTTCATCACTATGTACCCATGTCTAGAAATTTACATCTCTATGGAGGATAGTATTTTGCGGTCAAGGTCCATTCTGCCTTTCACACATAACTAAAGATTCTTCTGATACCCCCAGTGGCAGAAGTAATATTCAAGCAGATAAATCCTTGTGGAATCATATTCAACTCAACTAAGAGAGCCATAACCAGACTTCTTCCAGGAACACGTGATACCAAAAGAGATTATAGGACTCAAATACCTTCACAAACTAAAATCCCATTGATTTCTTGTTCCATCAAAAGCATGGAAGAAAGAAAAAGGAAAAAATAATCAATAAAATGGATGGAATAAAAGGAAATAACGGGGAAAAAGGTAAAAATGCACTTATATAACAGTCCTCATTTGATGGATGAAGATGTGCAGTTGTAAAAGTCTCCCTTCCACAACAGAAATAAAATCCCCTTCCTCCCCAAAATACATTCTCTTAAGTCCAATTCCATCAGTTAGTAATTTCACTGACCTTAAGTCCTTACGTAATGAGATTTCAGGTGGTATTAGATGCCCCATTTCTTTGACAATGTTCTGAACGATAAACATCCCTCAGTATGAATATTATGACTTTCTCCCTATTTCCAATAAGTTGAAGAATCTAGTTATTGGATAAACCCATGCAAAAGTATTGGCACCATCAAAGCTTACAACAAATGAACTCAAAACATGGATGAGATCCATAGTGAACTTAAAATTAACTCCATTGGCCTTCGACCTTGCCATCATGTTAAAACCGTGTTTCCAAACTGCAGTCCATAGAATTCAATTACCATAACAAGAGAATAGAACCTTTACTCATTATACTTATGCACTACGAAGCTAAGTGACCAAAATGAGTGATAGTATGAGTACAAACAAGAACAGAGAGATTGGTAGAAAAAATGGCAAGTTACATAAAAAACAATTGGCAGGACTCCTTTTCTTTATTTAATATATTCCTTGTGCAGAATGAATCCATGGTGATCTCCCCTTGATGAACCAACATTCTTAATACAAGGGCTACCCAAATCCACAGATTACATCTTGAGCTAACAAACCACTCATGGAATTGAGAATACTCAAAGATAATAACTCCAGTCCACCCAATTATTCTTAGTTGCACATGATGTCAACTACCATATTCCTTGTGTGGGGCTCTGTGCTCATAGATTCTTTGAGGACAAAACGGCAAGATGTACACCTATAAAAGTTTCCAGTAAAGTAAGAGTAGCTTAGCTGAGCTGACTTTTGATGGACACTTTTTTTTGATATTGTAAGGAAGTGTGTCAAAACATACTGCATGGAAGTTTCAAGACATACTTAATAAAATTAACACTTAGTGTGCAAAATGATATAGCTTAGTAAATCATACAATAAAAAAACTCTAAATGTTAGGATTTTAATTATATTTGGCAAAAGTATATATTAAAAATGACATAAAAACTAAATATAAAAGCATGATATATGCATATTATATGGCATATATGGCTTAACCTTATTAGGAAATTGAGAGTCGTAACCCCATTTTCCATTTCCGTTTCCATGTTACTATCCATATCTGGGGCATCATAGCTAACAAAATGGGTTCCAACAAAAGGAAATTGCTCAAACATATGCCTGTGTATTGATCAACAAAACCCAACATCTATAGACGTCTGCAACACCTAAGAGAATGTAATGGCAACCCTACAGATTAAAGCCACGGTTGAAGCCAACATCCCTTCATAACACATTTACCCCTCCCCTACGAGTTCCATCCAAATTACGTACTCAAGGTCATGAACAAGAAAATAGGAATAGAAAAAAAAGGTGTCAATTCAATTTAGAATACTATTACAATTGGGAGTAGAAAAAAAAAAATTAGACTACAAGCATTACGCATTCCACACATAAAGAGAGACAACAGTAAGCGGTTCATATAAGATTTCCAACGGAAATGACTATCACATGAACCTTAACAAAAGCACCATCTCAACCTTAGCCACTAAGTACAAACTCCCTCAAGCTAGTAGCTCCATATTAAACACCATACTTACGACTACAAAACAACATTTCTAAGCAAGAAAGCTGCAATTCAGGCATACCATTTTCACCCCTTTGCTTCGATGTGTAACTGCAAGCTTTCTAAAGCACGATCAAATAGAGTTCTGAACACTGTGCTTCCCTTCTCCCGCCTAGGAAGAAATATGAGTAAACACGAACCCTTGCGTCTGTACAATCGCCTTTCCTGGACGACCAAGCGAAACCCAAACTCCGTTCCAGCAGTTTATGGGCTTCGTCTAGTATGGATTATGCATCAATGACGCATGCACGGCCTGATACCTGCTCCAACCTTTAACAGAAAGCATCTTCGAGAAGAAGATCGGAGGTTGTTCTCGTTAAGACCACTCTCGAAACTAGAGAATTGATCGAATAGTGTCCGATCTTCTTCTCTACTGACTCTCCATCACCTGTAAAAGCCGAATCTTAAATGTAAATTCCCCTATCCGGTTTCAACTTGTTTAACTTCATGACAGTGAGTTCAAAAGGTTTATCTGATCATAGAAAGACCATAGAAGAACTATAGAGAATAAGTTTGTAGTTTTTCTTCTCAATAAAATAACAAAGAATAGTGATGCCCTAACCCTAATCCTAGGGGAACTGAGATTCAAAGGCGAGAGATTTTCAAAGAATCGTACCTTCGATACAAGGCGGGTAATTTGAACGAGTGGTTGATCTCCGGTTGGAGATTGAAGAACTTTTCCGGCAGCTCTTCACCGGCAAAAATTGAATCGGAGTGAGTTCTCTTTAGACGCGAGATGGAAATAATGGATGGTGGGTTTTGTTTCTGAGGAAAAGATATAAGATAGTGCCCTGCACACAACAACAATTAGCGGTTTCTCATCTTTACCGTACACGTGGACATGATATCACTTCATCGAGACCATTCATTAGGCGTGAACATCTTGCATGGCACATAACATTAAGCAACAACCCCAATCATCACGCTGATTCCACACATCAAACGGTTAGACTGTGGTTGAATTCTCATGCTGGAAATGAATGGCAAAGAATAAGGCTATATGGTTTGTCTTTATATACAAGGATGTATATTCGACGAGACCCTAAAGCTGGAAACAAAGCATTTGGATCTCCAACCCACAGGTATACACACCCCACATCCAGATTGTAAAACAAACGGGATCAAATCAGATATTAGCTAAATTCCAATAATGATCCCTGTTTACAAAATAATCTAAATATAATTCCCGAATGTTCAAATCTTATCCATTGGAACTTGGAAGGGTTCGACAATGATGCCGAAAAGACATGGTTAAGGTTGTGTTTAAATAAGTTTCGGGTATGTGCCTCTAAAATCCAAAAGCATAAAGACCAAAAGAGTGTGTTGTGACTTACGATGCTTCTAAAATAGTTTTTATCAGTTATCACATTCGAAACACTTTTTACCTCAATCTTGTTTTTCACAATTCAAAATCCAATCCAAATAGAGCCTAAATTATTGAGCCTAACCTATCTGTAAACATAAAATATTCAAATCAACTCTACTAACGAATACAATATTAATTCTATATAAATATAAGTAATGTTTAAATATTATCAGATCGGATCAGAGGTAGATCCATATTCAATTCAAATGTATTGGGTGGTTCTATCTTCGTGGTTCATTGATGCAGCAAAAAATAAATTGCATGTGCATGATTTAAAGTTTGTCAACTACTAGTAAGCAAGTATGCACATATTTTGTACATAGTAATTATAGATGATGATATTGAAAGTAATAATGTATCAAAAAATTATATTAATATGTATTTTTTTATTTTTTAGTTTTATTATTAATAGTATGTATATTGTAAAATTCAAATCTGATTATATAAAACACCTCATCCAAATATCATTGGATCGAATTGTGAAGCTTCAAGTATCATTGATAGGCTTACCTACTTGGATAGATTCTTCTTTTGGTAATGTTTTATCTATTTTTTTTGTTCATTTATCAAATAAATATAAGATTTAAATAGAGAGAATTGAATGAGGTGAATGATGTTATTTGATCCAATGTGTGTTAAGCCGAATATGCAGTAGATAGTCCTGCCAATTAGACGAGGTCAAGGTGGAAAGACAAGGTTGTGCACTGTAGTTTGCAAGCACAGAGAAAATTAGAGGCTCGAGGAATTTATCCCTGGGCAGGCACTTCGACACTCGAGTCAGTAATGAAGTGAGAGAGAGATTGATTGGGCCGAATAGGTAGAGAGCTGGTCCAAGCTGAGGAGAGTAATGCGTGTTAGATCTCAAAGAGCTTACCTTGAGGGGGAGATGCCTTTATATATACTGAACACTCGTGTTGTAGTCAAATGAGGTCCGTGGGGTTATCGGGATGAGGTCACCCACCAAGGTTATCAAAAGGTCCCACTCTCCCTGGCGGGCCACGTCCCCTTGTCCGTGAGAAACTTTGCTTCCTCGTGAGGCCTCTCCGTGACACGATTGTGGTGGCATGTGCTGACGTGGTTCAAACTCACTAGCCACAGAGGCAAATCACGTGGCAGTTTTGGCCAGCTAAGACGTCACCCAAATAGTGAAAAAGTAGCAGTATGGGTGTTAATGGACTGGTTTTGAACTGGACCCTATCCAGTCCAAAATCAATTTGGACGGATTGGATGGACCAACAAGACATATTGGATTGGACCAATCCGGTCCAAAATATTTATTAGATTGGATTGGATCTGGTACGTCCATAATAAATTTATATTGGATTGGATTAAGCCAATATCTAGTCCATTGATATAAGATAAGAATATAGGTGTCAATGGAGCATGTTTGGGTTGAAACCAATATAAATTAAAACGAATTTGGACTGATTGGACAATCCAAACACTGAAATGGATCGGTCCAAAATATTTATTGAATTGGATTGGACATGGTCCATTTATAAGGGGCTCACGTTGGACTGGATCGGATTGGACAAAATCCAATCCAATTGACACCCCCAAGTAGTAGTTCAATTTACAATTTAAACCTCACAATTAAATATGGACTAAATTCAAAATTGAGTATTTTAGTTAAAAGAATGTTCCATAATATTATTCATATTTTTAATAGTATTGTAAATATAGAATTATAAATGTGTTCAATTTTTTCTATAATTCTTTTTTGTATTTCTATGTGTAAAAATAAGTTTGATATGTCACACTTACTTCTTGTTTAATATGATAGTTATATGATATTATACATGTGCCTGAATGTTCTTTTGCAAAATTTATGTATTTTTTTTCATGTTGTATTTTTATATTTTATTAATTTTTATATTATTTATTTATTTATGACATTAAATGCTAACAAATTTGACCCAAAAGTTGAATAGTTGATCTTTTCCAAATAGTAAAATAATTTCATTTTTTCTCAGTTCTAAATTATATATTTAATTTTCATTATCAATAAAAATAATTCTTGTTTATTACACTTATTTTTTAATTTCATTAACAAAAATATCCTAAATGTGTCTAATTTTTTCTATATTTTGTAATTTTTTATATTTATTTCTATTTTACAAATTTTATTAACTAACTATGACTATATAGATTGATCAATTTGATTCAGATGGTTGAATTTCTTAGCCACCACTTTGATAAATAATGGCTTTTTATCGAGTTAGTTTTCAAATATACAAGTTTATATTGTTAAAAATATTGGCATAGGTCTAATTAGTATCATTTATTAGTGAAAAATAACTTAATATAGGATTTAATAGGAGAAAATGAGAGTTAATACTTTAAGTTATAAGACTTAATGAGAGGGGATTAAATGAGGTGAAATGTAATAATTGAATTTACATTTTAAACCCTTACAATTAGAGATGCACTAAATAGACAAATATGAGCATTTTAGTAACCCTTAAAGTTGACATTAAAGCTACAATAAAGTGACTTTTATATCATTTCTCAACAATGAAATAAGGAGTAATTTTAGTCCAAAAAAAATTTCACTCTGCATTCCCACTTTTATATATAGTATAGATATAGATGAAATGTGCGCAAAGGTTTTATATTAGTATTGTATGTATGCTAAAGAATTTTTATAAAGGTAGTTTCAATGGAGATACGTGGTGGGTAAGGTTCAAAATATTAATATTGCAAATACTATTTGATGGTGCGCAATCCAGTCACTCCTGGCTAGCACTCGCATGGCTCCCAAGAGGTACCTGAGATGAGGAAGAAGAAGAATCCCCGGGGGAGTTCACCCGGTGGGAACGCTCTGACGATTAAGTCAGTATTCTGAGTAAGAAGCAAAGGGAAGACAAAAGCTAAGAGTGAGGTAGCGCAAGAGATTTCAAGATACCCGTTTTCTGAGAATAGGCTCCTTATAACAGAATTCTTTCGTACCAGGCCTACTGGCCTCTGATGGGGCAGGTACAACCGCCACTGTCAGCTTGTCACAGCCGTTACAGGCAGGGCTGAGGTGGCACGCGCGGGATCGTCACTATAGGGTGCGCGCTTGTCAGGTATAAGACACCTTCTAGAGGTGGCAGGCACGATACTATCTGACGAGGGACATGGCGGCTGTCCCAGATTTGTTGGGTACGATGGTCGAGCAGGAAGCCTTCCTGTGGTATACTGAACTACCCTTCCACGAATTACCTTGCGCCGGGCTGTCTCTTGAGTGACGAGCTGCCCGTAGTAAGTTATGCCGAGTTGGCTGACCCGATGTGTTTATGCCTCGGGGTGTCCTGAGATGGATCGGTGCGTTCCTGTCTGGGAGTGGCCCGAGGTCCATTGGGACGAGCTCGGGCCTCAAGAGAGGTCAGGGTACCCCGAACTCGAGGCACCCCAAAGTGCCTTAACCCCGGGGAGGAGGTGCAGGTAAGGAGCCTTCTGGCGAGTAGTTTATCCGCACAGTTGCCGAGCTGAACTCGATGGGACCTCCCCTCCGAGTTGTGGTTGCATCTGTTGCGCTGTCACGCTGAGTCACTGTTTGAGCAAGGTCACGCCCACGTGTACTCGTGCTGCGAGGTCGGGCCAAATCACCCTCCATCACTATTGAGAATCGATTTTAATATATTTTTACTCCATGTGGTTAAATCCATAACCATAACCCCATTAGGAGTGTATTGATACTTGGAATCTTATGTTTTTTTAAGTTTTTTTTTTGTATGTTTAAAGTTTGAAACCATTCATTATGTAAAAAGCCTAAAAAATGGTGTTTGGAAGAGTTGTTGATAATCGATATGATATAATATGAGACATATTGTATTCATACTTTGAACCTTGGTCTATATAAAATGTAAGTTACTATTGAAAAATAATAGAAAACAAAAATAGACTTAAATAAGAAATCAATATAAATTTCTATCAATACTTTAAAAACTTAAGCCCCATGTTATTTTAACAGGGGTAGTCTGTATTCGGCATATCAATAGGAAGGAGTGAGTATGATGAAAGGAGAGTTAACAAGGAAATCAGTTATTTAATGCACCAATGCAATACTGTGGGGAAGTTGACAATACAATATGTATCAGCATTTTATTTGTTTCAAACATGAACCAATGCAAAGTTGAACAACCCTGAAAATCTATTGTTCTAGATCGTTAACTCAATGTAACATTAATTGCATGTGTTTGAAAATCTATATTCCATGTTCCACATACGAAGTATTGAACCACACCTATCTCAAATATTTAAGTGATTACAAAGCCAGGTAGGTTGCCCTAAAGATAATTGGAAAGGGTTCTTGAGAAGAAGAATTGATAAGATCAATCGTCGTCTGGTTTTATGTATATATAGTACACATTTACAGGATTCAGGTCTGGAGACAGAGTATCGTGCATGTAATCTTTCAGGTTTGAATAGATCAAATTAACTTCATTTATATAAATATAAACAGAGGTTCAACCAATTCAGAGACAAAACATCAAACACAACTTGAGAACACTGCCCGAAAGATCCAACCAGGGCAGTTGAACAAAATCGAACCCTGCTCTTGGAGACCTCTCTTCACAAGAAAGTGGCCTGGGCAAAACCATTACATAATCTGCCTGTTTAGTATAAACAAAAGAGAATTCCAAGCCAAGAGTAATATCACAAATATCCTTAAAAAGTATCTGAAATCTGAAATCCTGTTGTTTGCACGTCTGATAAGGCGTTGACAATCTGAATCCAAGATCACCTTCCTAAAGCCACAGTGTTTAGCTAACAACAGTCCTTGACGAATTACAATAGTTTCTGCTGGGATGGCCCAAAAGGCTGTACACGGACCAAACCAAGCAACGACACACCTTCCCTTGCCAATCTCTGGTCACCAAGTCAAAACTAGCTTTATTTGCACCCAAAAACACTCCATCTAAGTTTATGCTAAACACACCAAAGCGTAGAGAGGCTGCCAAAAAGAACCTATGGACCATGGCATCAAACTCTATATCGACCGATATAATCACATGGATCTTTGAAGTGACTTTGAATGACCACCTCAACTACTCATTTTTATTTTGAAGCCTTACAACTACTGATCATTGACTACCTGAAGAAAATGTTTGGTTGTTTGCAAGGGAACAGGACAACTCTTTTACAATTATATATATATATATATATATATATATATA